TGTAGAGTGTGGAGTGTGGAGTGTCAAGTGTAGCGTATAACGTGTAGTGTGTAAAGTGTAGAGTGTGGGATGTATAGTGTGGAGTGCTACCCACCCACTTAGTAAAAGAAAACGCCGGTGGGGTTCATTTTTTGGATTTTTTTTTTTTCAAGGGTTTCCCATCCGGCGGTGCTATCCGCTGCAGTTTTAACACCAGGTTCCGGGCAAGGTCAGGGCCCAAAAGACCAATCATTGGATTCAACTGGCTTCAAAAAGTAAGCAAAACAAACAAAGCCAAAATCAGGCCACAATGTTGATGCTACGGCCAGGCTACGGCATGTCTCAAAAGCGCAACCGATTGTGTAAGCTGTGTATAGGTGCAAAGCTTATTAGCATTTAGCTGCATTTAGCTGCACGAAAAGCCCTACAGATGCCCTAACGTTGCCCTAGCGTCGCCCTAACTTCACACTTGGGCAAACGGGACGGCCGGAGGTATATTAAAAACATAAAAGCTGGTTCACATTTTAGGTTTTGCCACCTTGATCCATCGCAATCTGATCCCGTTGTAGCGGATAGGTGCAAAGCTTTTTCAATTAGCTTCAAAATGGTTGATTTAAGCTTCCAAATCGTCGATTTTAGCTTCAAAATCGTCGATTCTAGCTTCACACGGTGCTAGGGCGACGTTAGGGCGACGTTAGGGCGACATTAGGGCGTCTGTAGGGCCTTTCCTGCAGCTAAATGCCGCATCACATGATGTGGCAATCCTCCAGGGGCCAACAACAGGGCACAACCGACCAGATTGTTTTTTCTTGTGCCCAGCTTGTACTTTATTCTTTCCAGAGGCTATTCCTTTTCATTCCTGTTCATTTTTCTTTTTTGTTTTGGGACTTACAAACCTTAAGCACAATGAAATGCATAGAAGATTTCTTTCGCATTCCTATGCGTTTCATTGCTTTTAAGGTCTGTGAGTCCCAAGACATGATGGAAAAATGAAAAGGAATAGCTCTGGAAAGAAAAAGGTACGGAAACCTGTAGAAATGCTCCACGGACGGTCCCATTGCTTAGGGCCTCCGGCCCTAAGCGATGGAGGCCCCCAGAGCGAGAAACAAGCATGTCTCTTGCTCTGGGAAGCGTCCCATTGCTTAGGGCCTCCGGCCCTAAGCGATGGGGATGCTTCCGCCCAAAAACCCATCCAATCGGTGGTGCGCTCAATTTGGTCGCTTTTAATTTCAAAATGGTCGATTTTAGGTTCAAAATGGTCGATTTCGCTTAGGGCCGGAGGCCCTAAGCAATGGGACGCTTCCCAGAGCAAGAGACATGCTTGTTTCTCGCTCTGGGGGCCTCTCCATCGTTTAGGGCCGGAGGCCCTAAGCAATGGGACCGTCCATGGAGCATTTCTACAGGTTTCCGTACCCTTTTTCTTTCCAGAGCTATTCCTTGTCATTTTTCCATCATGTCTTGGGACTTCCAGACCTTAAAAGCAATGAAACGCATAGGAATGCGAAAGAAATCTTCTATGCATTTCATTGTGCTTAAGGTTTGTAAGTCCCAAAACAAAAAAGAAAAATGAACAGGAATGAAAAGGAATAGCCTATGGGAAGAATAAAGTACAAGCTGGGTACAAGAAAAAACAATCGGGTCGGTTGTGCCCTGTTGTTGGCCCCTGGAGGATTGCCACATCATGTGATGCGGCATTTAGCTGCAGGAGAGGCCCTACAGACGCCCTAATGTCGCCCTAACGTCGCCCTAACGTCGCCCTAGCACCGTGTGAAGCTAGAATCGACGATTTTGAAGCTAAAATCGACGATTTGGAAGCTTAAATCAACCATTTTGAAGCTAATTGAAAAAGCTTTGCACCTATCCGCTACAACGGGATCAGATTGCGATGGATCAAGGTGGCAAAACCTAAAATGTGAACCAGCTTTTATGTTTTTAATATACCTCCGGCCGTCCCGTTTGCCCAAGTGTTGAGACACGGTACGCAACATGAAGTGGGAATATTGATATATGGATGGCACCAAAGGTGCTTATTACCCACCGCAGTGCCAGGTTGAAGCCTGAGAAAGCTTTCCAGTCCCAGGTAAAACCTGCCCTGACCATGCGGCTGTGCACCCTATAAAATGGCGCGATGCACTGTTTAGGCTTGTTTACGCATTCTTGGTCTCCAAAGCCAGGATCAGGATTGGACAGGAGTAGGCAACCCCACCTTAAAAAGGAAAATGGAAAGGTCCCCCCCCACATACCCTAAGGTGGAGTGTAAAGTGTAGAGGGTAGAGTGTCGAGTGTTAAGTGGGGAAGGTGGCGTGTAAAGTGTGGAGTGCGGAGTTTAGAGTGTAACGTGTAAACTGTAAAGTGTAGAGTGTGAGGTGTGGAGTGTGGAACGTTTTGTCACGGGAGGTCATAGGAGGTTACGGGAGGTTATGGGTGGCTACGGAGCGGGAAAACTGAGAACAGTGGAGGAAGAGCAGGAAAAAGGTAGGAGACACCTGACGAAAAGGACGGAAAAGGCAAAGTGTAGAGTGTGAGGTGTGGCGTGTGGAGTGTGGAACGTTTTGCTGTGTCGACGTCTGTCTGTGTCTATGTTTGTCTCTGTATGGGAGGGAAGTTACAGTTGGTTATGCGAGGTGACGGGGAGGCATGGGAGTAAATTATGCCTGGCGGTCAGAGAGGGGAGGTGTGTGGCCGGGGGTGCATATGGTTGGAATGGTTGCTGCAGGCCTGGCAAGGTGAAGTTGCTTGCCGGAATGAAGTCAGAGCAGAGAATGTGGGGAAAAAGGGAACCATTGGAGGAGAGAAAGCGAATGGGTGCTAGCAGTGAAGTGCGAATTGTCATGCAAGTCTTTCAAGTCGCCATGTGAACTGTTTTGCTGAAATTCTTGCAATTTTGCTTCTCTGTGATTTTCGGAAACCTCCACTTAGCATTGTGTACCGCTGTCGGCGTTCCCGCAGCCAATGTGGCACGTGGGGTTATGGAGAGATACAGAAGGTAGTTCTGCTTACAATTACGAAAGCCAGCTGTCAAGCATGGCGAAGTTGCTCATTGCGAACGAAGTGAGAATAAGGGGTCTGGGGGTGGTAGTCTCCAAACGGACCTTTTTGAGGCACTTCCCCACCTAATTAGGGTGGCCATGGTGATCGATTTTGAGGCTGATGTACCAGATGGCAATTGGGTGACAGTGGGGTTCGATTCCCCCCTGGTCCGTCCTCCGACGTGCACTTGGGGTGAGTGGAATGGAGGGTAAAGGGATGCAAAAATGGAGTCAAAGCATAACAGAACAATGGCAAAACTTGGAAAGAGTAATGGAAAAAGAGAGGGAATGGAAGCATAAAATAAAGGGGACGGATTGGAGTTTCGGGGCGGGGTGTACGATGGGGGGAAGGTTGGAGGGACAAGAGCGGTGGGAGAGGAGTGTAAAGTGCAAAGTGTAAGGTATGGAGTGTAGAGTGAAGAGCGTTGAGTGTAACGTGTAGTGTGTACAGTGTAGAGTGTGGAGTGTAAAGTGTAGAGTGTAAAGTGCAGTGTGTAAAGTGTAGAGTGTGGAGCGGAGTGTAAAGTCTAAAGTGGAAAGTGGAAAGTGTAGAGTGTAAAGTGTAGAGGGTGGAGTGTGGAGTGACGCGTGCACAGTGGAAAGTGTAAGGTGTGGGAGTGTAGAGTGTCAAGTGAAGAGTTTAAAGTGTAGAGTGTGCAGTGTAAGTGTAGAGTGTAAAGTGTAGTGTGTAAAGCGTAAAGTGTAGAGTGTGGAGCGTAAAGTGTAGAGTGTAGAGTGTGGAGTGTACAGTGTGGAGTATGGAGTGTAAAGTATAAAGTGTAAAGTGTGGAGTGTAGAGTGTAAAGTGTAGAGTGTGGAGTGTAGAGTGTGGAGTGTAAAATATGGAGTGTGGAGTGTAAAGTGTGCAGTAAGGAGTGAGGAGTGTAACGTGTAACGTAAAAAGTATGGCGTGTAGAGTGAAGAGTGTAAAGTGTAAAGTGCAGTGTGTAAAGTGTAGAGTGTGCGGTGTGGAGTCTAAAGTGTAGAGTGTAAAGTCTAGTGTGTAAAGTGTGCAGTGAGGAATGAGGAGTGTAAAGTGTAAAGTATGGAGCGTAGAGTGAAGAGCGTAGAGTGTAAAGTGTAGTGTGTAAAGTGTAGAGTGTGGAGTGTGGAGTGTAAGGTGTGCAGTGAGGAATGAGGAGTGTAAAGTGTAAAGTATGGAGCGTAGAGTGAAGAGCGTAGAGTGTAAAGTGTAGTGTGTAAAGTGTAGAGTGTGGAGTGTGGAGTGTCAAGTGTAGCGTATCACGTGTAGTGTGTAAAGTGTAGAGTGTGGGGTGTATAGTGTGGAGTATAAAGTGTAGAGGCTAGAGTGTCGAGTGTAAAGTGGGGAAGGAGGCGTGTAAAGTGTGGAGTGGGGAGTTTAGAGTTTAGAGTGTAATGTGTAAAGTGTAAAGTGTAGAGTGGGAAGTGTGGAGTGTGGAGTATGGAGCGTTTTTTTTTCTGTGTTTGCGTCTGTATGTGGGGATAGAGATGAACTGCCAACGTTTCGTTTTTGGGAACGGTCACAAGGACCGAGCTTTGAGCAGGGCTTTCTCTCTGGCACTTCTTTGGGCACCATTCATTTCTATGTGTGGGGCGGCATGGCCAAAGGCACTCCCCCCCTGATTGGCGCTCGAACTTTACGTGGAAAGAATGCCATGCTATCGTATGCCGATGGTTTGTTCCGCTATCATGAGCCCAATGAACCTGGGCAGCTGGCAGTGCAAATGCAAGCTTTGACATCTGGGCACTTGACCATTGACCTCGCCTTTGCAAGCGTTTGCAGAGGCACCCAGATCTGGGATGGTGGAGAAGGACAGTGGACGTTTCAATGATTTTTGTCATGAGCCCAGCCAAGCATTCACATGTTTTCAGTTGAACATGGACATGCACATGATGATAAGTTTGGATCTTCGTTTTCTTTGCCATCCTCATCACCTATGTCATTTCGTTTGCAGCAACTGGCTTCAAAGCTCAAAGATCTCAGGCGATCTGCACCTTCGAACTTAGGTGATGGATCGAGAGCCAGCCCCATGCGACGACATCCGTCACAAGGGCTACCTGTGCTTCGGGAATCACAAGCCAGGCAAGATGAGGACCAACCAGTATGCAAGTTGGATGGCCTGCTCTCGATGCGCTCTCCGTCTGACATACACCAGCAAGGGGAACGCGCATGGACAAGATCGGCAGAGCTGTCCAGAGCTGCATCTTCTGCGGGCAACCATGGAGGAGTTGGAAATGAATGTGCCGGCAGATGCTTGCACCGAAGCGATTGTGCAGGGAAAACTGATGGAGCTCAAGGGCAAGATGGTGCAAGCTGGCCTGACCAACAGTCGGGCGATCCACATGACCTATGCCGAGTACCTGGACAGGCTGAAGAAGGCCGGATATGTTCCATCGATGGGACAGACAAGTCAAGACACTTTGCCCACGACAGCCTTGTCCAAGGCACCTCCAATAGCTCCACCGATGGAAATGGGCAGCCAGCCGGATGCAGCCATGACCAATCTGGCTGCGGAGAACGAAGAGCTGCGCGAGAGATTGAGGATGGCCGAGGGTGCAACGGCCGAAGCTATGAACAGGGCGGAGATCCTTGCAGCAGAGAGCATCAAGCAGAAGGAAGTTGCAGCCAACCAGACTGCAGAGATGGAGAACCTGCGCAAGATGGCACTCCAGAAAGACTCCAAGAACAAGCCGATGGGCACTTGGAGGATTCACCAACCAAGGAGTCACAGGGCAGTTGGGAAGTGGCTCATGCAGTTTCAGTGCCATCGTACTCCGATGAGGAAGCCACGGAGAAGAGAACCAGGGCCGAAGCGGCCTCCAAGTGATCAATGGGCTGTGGAGCCGCCTCAAGCAATTGCGGCAAAGTATGGTCCCCGACTTGGGACACACGACATGTGACACCACGAATGACACCACGACTTCAGCTGGATTGGGGCTTGCACAAGGCTCCCAAGTGCTGGAGACATCGACCCAGCTTGACAACGAGTTTCAATGCGTTGCCAAAGCTGACAATCCTCTTTGCCGAGTGTTCACGGCAACCATGACACCTGTGCTCACCCTGTTCCATTTGAGCAAGGTCAGAATTCGATCAAGGCAGCCGACAAGACGCAGTCCAAGAAGAACATTGTGTTTCCCAGCTTAGCAAAGAAGCTGGCTACTGGCGTTGCTGTCCTTGCAGCATCTGTCGCTCTTCCAGTTCAAGGTTTGTTTTCACAACTTCATTGATGCGCCTGATTTTGTGGAGATAGCATGAGATTGCATGTGCTCAGGATTCTTCTTTGACAACAGCGATGGAGAACATGGGCTATGTTTGCAAGCGTGTGAACTACAAGAATGGCTATGATCTTAGTTCCAAACGAGGAACCAACATGTTGCAGATGGACTTCAAACTGCATCCGCCTCGGTTTTCCTGGGTTTCTCTTCCTTGCACGAGGTTGTCACCCCTCCAGAACCTTACAGAGCGTAGTGAACTGGAGCGGAGCAATGTTGAAAAGAAAGTTGGTTGTGATTTGAAAAGTGCAGAGGAGGTTGCGGATGCCATTTCACATGGACTTGATGCAAGGCCAGAAGCTGACTTTGCATGGGAGTGGCCAACCCGGGCGGCTAGAGGATGGAAGTCTCGAGCCATTCAGAAACTGCTTGCAAAGATGGAGAAGATTGGTAGACCGGTTTTTTGGTGCAGGTTTCACGGATGTGCATATGGTTTGGCATACAAGGGCATACCAATGTTGAAAAGTTGGACCGTTTTGACCTCGAATCGACGACTCTGGCTATCTCTACAACGAAAATGCCCAGGACACACAGAACATTGCGAATGCAGAGGTGTAGCTGCTCAGGCTTCTGCAGATTATCCTTTGCAAATGGTTCGTGATGTCACCAAGGCAATTTCTCATGGATGGCAAGACATAGAAGCAAACCAAGGTTTTTCACTTGCCCAAGACATTGAGCAGTACCTCTTGAACAATCCTTCGAAGATCTATGGCGACCAGGAACCAGAGCTCTATGTCTATGAGAGTGAGGTCAGAAAGCAGTTGCGGGAAATGTCCCCCAAAGTTTTTGCCCTTAGCAGAACCACGTTTCCAAAAGAACCACCAACAGGCCGCAAGTTGGAACTGATCAAACAGCAGATGCTGCGGGCGGGTGCATCGCGCTTCAGGCCATTCGTCCTTTGGCAATTTGCAGCGGTTGCTGAGGGCGAGAGGTGCCCCTCCATGGAGCATTGAACTGGCGGGCAACTTGCAGTGCCCCTCGTGCTTGGAATCTCAGAAACCGGTGTTGCATCCACCGGCATCAACACAGGACACTCCTGTTCTGTTTGAAGTGGTTGTGACGGACATTTTTGAGTTTGAGCATGATGGCAAGAAGCACAAGATGGTGTTGTGGCGTGACAGGGCATCTAGCTATGTCATCACCAAACACTTGCAGGAGTACACGGGCAACTGGGAACCAACAGCGGGCGACATCATCAACAGTTTTTTTTGAAATGGATGATGATCAACCCAAGTCCCATTTGGATCATCAGCGACTCTGGTGTCCAATATACAGCTCAAGAGTTCCAAGACTTTTGCATGAGCAGTGGCATTGGGCTGTTGACAGCTCCTGCGGAAGCTCACTGGTTGATGAGTGCAGAGGAAGGGGCAATCAGAATTTTGAAGAATGCTGTGGCACGTCTTCTTCGAGAAGAACCTTCCCTCACCGTGGCCAATGCCTTTGCCCTTGCTGCTCATGGCAGCAACCACACCATTGGGCCTTCTGGATACTCAGCCTTCCAGTGAGTCAGAGGTGGCGCTACACCACAAGATCCTTTGCTGTCAGGTCTTGACCCAAAGAAAGCTTTTGGCGGCCTCCTACGTTTGAAGGAGAAAGCAAGGATAGCTTTTGAACAAGAACATGCCAAATACAAGCTTTCGAAGCTGAACAATGCTTTGGGTCGCTCACCAACTGCCTACAAAGTTGGTGCTCTTGTGATGTTGTGGCGTCAGCGGATGAGACCCGGAAAGACATCTGGACATTGGCAAGGTCCTGTGCGAATTCTACTACAAGAGGGTAGCACGTTGTGGCTTGGAAGTGGATCAACCCTGATCCGTGCCAAAACCAATCAATGCAGAGAATGCACAAAACGTGAAGAACTTAAGACCACTTTGGATGGAGTTGCAGTACTTCAACAACCAGTCACCCTGGAGACATTGCTCAGGTCTCTTACTGGGCGACACTACACCAATGTGACGGGTGAAGCACCTTCTTCTGACAGATTGAGAAGGACCTGACGCCAACAGATGTCAGAGCTGTTCCTGACCCATCACGACAGGCACCAGACAGCCGTCGTGGACTTCGTTCTCCTGGCCCACGTCCTGAGCCGAAAGCCAAGACTAGAGCGAAGAGCAAAGCCTAAGAACCATCTCTGCCGTCATCTTCTACGGCAGCTGGACGTGGACAATCTCAACAACAAGAAGATGCTCAGCCTTCTGACGAGGTGCAGGGCAGAATGATCCCCGGCACACCTACGCCTGGGACTCCACGTCCAAAGACTCAAAATGGGCGCACAAGATGTTCAGTGCAAGATTGTGTTCTTCCAGGCGGTCACTCTGGACCTCATACAGATGAGGTCGGCAAGACTTTTTCCTGGACAATTGATGGTGGACGGATTGACCTTGAAGGAGATCAGTCCGACGATGATGGACCATCATCTACCAGTTCCAATTCTTCCTCATCTTCTGAGGAGCTGAGGCCTGATGGCCCCGATGCACAGTCAGCCCCTATGGAAGATTCTACCAAGAAGCGCAAGGCTCCTGATGATGAAGCCATGTATGTGCTTGAGATCGACGTTGACGAGTGCACTTCGCAGTATCTGCGGAATCATCCCAGAAAGGCAGCAATTTGGTTGTCCAAACGGATGCAAGAGAAAGGACGTGAACATCTATGGCAACAACTTCCCATTGAGCGCAAGAAGGAGTTTGACCTTGCACGGGCGAAGGAACTTTCAAACATCCTTCAGTCCAAAGCTTTGAGGTCGTTATCTGATTCTGAGTGGAACAACCTGGATCGCCGCAAATTTCTTCAGATGCGATGGGTTTTGACCACCAAGTCACACGCTTCTGCGAAAGCGCGATTGGTGATTTTGGGCTACCAGCAGCACAACCTCACTGAAGTGCGAGCTGCTGCTCCTACAATGAGTCGCCTCAGTCGCAATATGCTTTTGACTGTTTGCGCCAACAAAGGTTTTAGGCTACGTTCTGGAGATGTCACTAGTGCTTTTCGACAATCCAACAAGTCCCTTGAAGAAGAAGACCTTGTTGTTTGTGTCACTCCGGAAGTGGCTGTTTTGTATGGAGCACCTCCTGAACGTCCATGCCTCCCTTTGAAGGTGGTGAAGCCATTTTATGGATTGGTGCACTCACCTCGTGCGTGGTATGAAGATGTGGCATCAACTTTGACCAAGACCAAGTGGAGAATGTTGCTTTCAGATAGATGTTCGTTCACATTGTATGACGAGGAGACGAACCCTGATCATCCAGAGCTCATTGGCATTGCTGGCGTTCATGCGGATGACTTCCTCGTTGGAGGACAAGAAGATCATCCGAAGTTCCAAGAAGCCATGGCTCACTTGGAGAAGGCCTATAAGTGGGGAAAATGGGAACTCGATTCCTTCTCCTATGCTGGATGTCAATGGAAGCAGACGCAAGATGGGACCATCTATCTTGACCAGACTGAGTACACCTCAAAGTGGATTGAGGAGATTCCAATTTCTTCAGAAAGAGTTGCTCAGGTCAAGGACATGGCAACACCGTCAGAGGTGGCCCAACTGCGTGGTGCGATTGGCACTATGGCTTGGATGTCAAGCCAAACTGGACCTCACTATCAGGCAGATGTTGGTTTGCTACTTTCAGAAGTTCCTTCTGCAACAGTAGGCACTTTGCTGAAGGCCAACAAGCTGGTCAGAGAAGCAAAACGCAGTCCTCAGTCATTGATGTTTCCAAGTTGGCGAGTTCCATGGACTGAGCTGGCAGTCATTGTTTGGGCGGACGCTTCCAACTCAAATCGTCCAGACAGAAGCTCAACTCTGGGAATCCTTGCCGGATGTGCTCCTGCTGGAATACCCAATGGTGAAAAGCATGCAATTTCACTTTTGCAATGGCGGTCGAGCAAGATGCCACGTCAATGCTTAGGCTCCAATGGAGCAGAGGTGCAGTCGATCACTGGGGGTGAAGACCTTCGTTTTCGTTTGCGTGCGTTGCTAGCAGAAGTACATGGTGAGAAGCTCAACCGACAGAATCTGTCTCCTGTTGTGCGCAAGAAGACGCAAGGTGCTCTGGTGATGGATTCAAAAGGAGTTTATGATGCAATGACTAGGAATGTTTCAGCTTTGCATGGCCTGAAAAGCGGACGTGCTGGATATGAACTGACAGTTTCCGTCAGTCAGTCATTGGAAGTGAACACCCAGTTGCGTTGGGTATGTGGAATTTCCCAACTTGCTGACGTCCTCACCAAGGGCGGTGCTGCGAGAAACATGTTCATGCGTTTCCTGACTGAAGGCCAGAGGTGGCAACTTGTTCATGATCCAGAGTTCACTGTCGGAAAGAAAGTGAAGAAACGTGCCCTAGAAGAGAAGCTTCGATCGATGGAACAGAACTTCCTAGCCGCATCGGAACGTGCTGCACAGTTGTTTAGATGGCCGTTCCGTAGTGCACAAGACCCTGTTGAGTTCAGGATTATGAGGGATGAACTGACCGAGCAGTCATGGATGAAAGCATACCCCAATCACATGCCATTACCAATAGATCCTGACAGGTGAACTCAACACGTGTTGCGTGCTGCAGGCTTGGGGTGGGATCAAGCCATTTGCCCCATAGACAAAAAGGCTGCGAGCGAGCCTGCATCGTTTTGCATCACCGTTGGCCGGTGACTGATCGTTGTTCATGTAATGGTATGTAATTAATTGCATGTAATTGCATGTAATGGTATGTAATGGTATGTAATGGTATGTAATGGAATGTCATGGTATGTCATGGTATGTAATGGTATCTAATGGTATGTAATGGTATGTAATGATATGTAATGGAATGTAATGGTATGCAATGGTATGCATTGTACGTAATGTACCTAATGTACGTAATGCATGTACTGTATGTAATGTATGTAATGTATGCAATGTATGCAATGTACGTAATGTATGTAAAAAAATGTATGTAATGTATGTAGTGTATGTAATGTAATGTAATGTAATGTATGTAAAGTATGTAATGGTATGTAATGATATGTAATGGTATGTAATGGTATGTCATGCTATGTCATGGTGTGTCATGTCATGTCATGGTATGCCACGGTAGGCAATGTACGTAATGTACTTAATGTACATAATGTATGTACTGTATGTAATGTATGTAATGTATGTATGTTTGTATGTATGTAGGTATGTATGTATGCATGCATGGATGGATGGATGTATGTATGTATGCACGTATGTATGTATGTATTTATGTATGTAATGTGGGTAATGTGTGTAATGTATGTAATGTGTGTGATGTGTGTAATGTATGTAATGTATTTTCTGTATGTTATGTATGCTATGTATGTATGTAATGTATGTAATGTATGTAATGTATGTAATGTATGTAATGTATGTAATGTATGTAGTGTATGTAATGTAAGTAATGTATGTAATGTATGGAATGTATGTAATGTATGTAATGTATGTAATGTATGTAATGTATGTAATGTATGTAATGTATGTAATGTATGTAATGTATGTAATGTATGTAATGTATGTAATGTTTTGTATGTAATGTATGTAATGTATGTCATGAATGTAATGAATGTAATGTGTGTAATGTATGTAATGTATGTAATGTATGTCATGTATGTAATGAATGTAATGTAATGTATGTAATGTATGTAATGTATGTAATGTATGTATTGTATGTAATGTAATGAATGTAAATGTATGTAATGTATGTATTGTATGTAATGTAATGAATGTAATGTGTGTAATGTATGTAATATATGTAATGTATGTAATGTATGTATTGTATGTAATGTAATGTATGTAATGTATGTAATGCATGTAATGTGTGTAATGTGTGTTTTGTATGTAATGTATGTAATGAATGTATTGTATGTAATGTATGTAATGTTTGTAATGTATGTAATGTAATGTAATGTGTGTAATGTATGTTTTGTATGTATTGTATGTACTGTATGTACTGTATGTAATGCATGTAATGTATGTAATGTATGTAATGTATGTCTTTGTAATGTATGTAATGTATGTAATGTACGTAATGTATGGAATGTATGTAATGTATGTAATGTAATGTATGTAATGTCATGTATGTAATGTATGTAATGTATGTCATGAATGTAATGAATGTAATGTGTGGAATGTATGTAATGTATGTAATGTATGTCATGAATGTAATGAATGTAATGAATGTAATGTGTGTA